AAAAAAAAAAAAAAAAAGAAACAAAGATGCATACCTATGAGTAGAAAAGTCCTTGGTATCAATGGTATTCCTTGGATTTATCTGCTGAGATACTGATGGGTCTGTTAGCATTTCTAATCGCTGGTGGAGCATCCTATTACTTTGACTAAGCTCTTGAACCAAATTTTCAAGTTGACGATATATGTCCCAATGCTTTCTCAATTCAATTTCATATGATAATTGTAGAAGTTCAAAAGATGCCTTTTGCTTTATCAACTGATTTAAAACTAACTCTTGTCTTGCTGTATAATAGTCTTGTTTAGCAATCTGTAGATCAAAATCTCCCTTTACAACTGGCATATTCAATAACTGGGCATTCTCTTTTACCACAGCAGGCAAACTTTTATCTTTCATATGAGAGATTTGTTCTTCAAGTTTCAGAATCTCACTATTCAAGTTAGAAATTTTAGCATCCAAATTATCTTTGCCAAGAGCCTACACAGAAAAAGCAATTACATTTAAAGCAGTAAATATAAAGTTGAAATAGTTTTAAACTTATTTTTACTTCCCATTTTAGTTTATCAGATAACATGCTAATAAAAACTAATTTCATGTTAACAAAAGCCAAAATCACAGTTTAAAAAAGGAAAAGCATGGGTAAATTGCTAAATTTTAACGCTATTACTACCACATATATACAATAATGGCTACCAAAACAGACACCTTGTCATGCTTGTCTTACTTAATAAAAATCATTAGCACACTACTAACTGAATGCAAATGTACACTATTCTAAGTTTTTCTTAAAACTAAAATAGTCCCAGTAGCTATGCTCCTAGTCTGTCAGCTGATTTTAGCACTTGCAAAGAGTGAGGAACCTCATATGTTATTCCCAAGTTTGTGTCAGTTATATGAACTCACTTGGTGCTGATACTCAGTTTCAGCTGTATTTTCACTCAATTACATAGTGGTTATATTACCAAGACTGCAAGCTTTCCAAGAGTGCAGATGGATATGGGCACTACATCTGTACATTCTCAACAAAAAAATCAGGGTTTCAGTCCACTGAACTGGGTCCCTGACTTCATTAGCACCAAACAAGGCAGGACACCCGTAACAAAGCAACAAAGCTCTTTACCCACACATCATAAAAGGGAATTTCAGTGTCTTCTGAGTCTGAACCAACACGAATTTCAATTTCAGAAAAAGTACTTTTGTTTAAAATTAGCTAATGTGATTGGGTTATAATTACTATTTTTGCCCTCTACTGATATGAAGATCTATTTGTATGAAACACTGAAATACATCAAAACTAAGCAATAAACAAACAGAAAATAAGAAAATGTAACTTATGTTACATTTGTTACATTATGTTACAAATGTACTTGTTTCATCCCCCTTTCTAAAGTATTTTAATATTAACATATCTTCCATTATGAACAACAATTACTGTACGAATCCAGTCTCATTTCTCATGTTTACCTTGCTAGTGAGGCTATGAAGATTCTCCTCTGCCCACTGTATACTCGACTTCATGCTCAAATTACTTGCTTTCAAGTGAATTAACTCATGTTGAGCACAAACGTAAGCTAGCTGCAGCCTAGCCATCTCTAGCCATCTCTCCTCGAGGACTTCCCGACTATCACAAATAGATGGTGCTTGTATATCTAAAAGTTGAAAATTTTCTTCATTTGAACTTTCAACTACTTCATGTATACCCGGAAAGAACTGTTTTTTGGTATATAAAGTTAATGCTGCTGTGCTCTGCTCTTCCTGGCTTAGATATTTTTCCAAGGAAAACTGAGATAAAAACACCAGTGGATTTGTCCCTTGATCCAAATTAGAATGTTTGAAAAACATCATCAATTTTGCAACTCCATCAGTAAGAGCCTGAAGTTCATTATTTATCTTAGTATTCACAGCATTTATAATTCCTTGACTCTGCTTCAGCCTTTTAGTGGCCGCTTCTTCTTTAGCATTTAACCTCAGAGATTTGTGGCTTGTTACTGAAGCCATCAACTGGCATTTATTACGTCGCTGAATTTTTAGGTTCTTTAACTTCTGCAGAGTTTGAACCTCAATCTCTAATTTCTCTAGCTCTTTGTCATCCAAGATACATGTCTTCAAATCAGAAGTTTTACAGGTTTTAAGAACTTCATCCAATGCTGCTCCTTCTAGGATAGGCTTGCCTGATGTTTGAAGAATGCTAAAAGCTTCCAATTCTTCTTCAGACAATACATTCTGTTCATTCACATTCCCACAAAACCACTTCAGAAATGATTCATCTTCAACAGTCTCAAACAACCAGTCAAAATCTTCCCCATTAAGAGTATCAGCTTTGGGATAATTGATTTTTTTTAATGTTTCCACAAACTCTTTTCCACAACTCATGGTTTAAGTACCCAATTTCTTTGTAACAGATATGGGTTTATGTTGCTATTTAGAAAATAAACCCAAAACACAAACAAAACTAATTTTATGTCAAGTCCATAGAGAAGGGAAAAAATATTTTTAGAATCTGACTTCTCCTGGGGGAGGAAAAACAGGTATTAGACCATAAATAAAGTAACCGTATTTGTAATAGAACGATACTGATAAATATCACAGAATATCTGGGAACCATCTAACCCAGAGGTAGTTATAGCTGAAATGTCTGATGAAGATAAACAAATTAGGGTATTACTGAGAACACTGCAAAAATAATGAAAACCAATTAGCAAGAAAATCTTTCCAAAGACAGTCATTAAAAATACACTGTCTCTTACAAAGCAGCTCAGTTCTTTCATTCAGTTTATCTAAACAAGTCCAAGCCAGCCTGCGGCTAAGCAGCCTCTTCCCCGCACCCAGCCGTTCCCAAGTAAGAAAAGAGAAATAAATACGGAAATGTTCTACAGGAAGAGTCAACGAAATGTTTACCTCAGCGACTCAAATCAGCATCCGCCATTCACACAGGAATCAATGTCCAGAGACGGTCAACCTAGTGCAGGCAACATCAGGCTTCAGATTTAAGAACCGTTCTCAAACTGATCTTAAAACTCCTCAACAAAAGGGAAAAAAAAGTCACGATGTACGGTGATGGCGTTAAGACTGAATGCGGTATCATCTCGCAAGGTATACAGTGTCAGGTCCTTACGCCGTGCACCCAAAACTAATGCAACGGTGTACGTCAACCACACTTCAAAAGACTAAAGCAAAATAACCCCCGAAACCCAAAACCCAAGTACCCGCCACTTCCGAATTGCCAAAGAACTAAGCAAACAGTGGTAAAAACACGTGCGGCATTTGCCACTTTGCAACCAACGCACCGCCGAACCACCCCCGATGACCTCACCAAGGGAACTCCACGGACGGCGACCGGCCGCACAGACACACGTGCGACACGGACGCATGTTAGTAACACACACCCGCAAAAGCCGCCGAACTAGCGTTAAAGGCAAACTGCACAGACCCCAGGCCCGCGCGGTTCACTCCGTGGAGTTCTGGCACGACCGCCCGCGTAGCAGCGGCGCGACACC